GTAGATGTTAGTCTTCTATCTAGTCACGCATCCCTTTGGCCTGGTCCCTCCATCGTAGGATTTAGGTTTTTGGTGATGTTGTCGCCTCTAAATCCTGGTGGTTAAGCGGAGACCACACCCCCTGCCTTAGAGCAATAATTTAAAAAGTCTTAATTTTAAACTATTTGTTAATCAACTGATAATGTTACTTTGTTAAAAATGAAAACAAGAAGGTATTAAAGCTAAAATTGTGTGTTACATTTGAGATGTAAAAAGGTACCAGTTTTCATAATCCGTTAGGTTATGATTATAATTTCTTTAATTGTATAATTTTTAGTCACTTAATTATTAAAACGAACGTCTATACCTTGAATTGAAGATAGATACCGTGTAAGAGTCCAAATCTATTTTATGTCAAATGTCACTGGGTGTAAAAAACATATTTCTTCTTATTTTTTCCAGAGGAGGTAGACTTCTTTGAAAGAATGTGTTTTATTGGTAGGGCAAGTTATTATTAAACAATAAATAGAGTATTTGTTGTATTATATAATGTTGAATATTATTTATATAATATTATATAGTTCTCATATTATGTTATGAGAATATTATGTTATGAAGTTAAATAGATAAAATATTAATCTATTGATAGAATTTTCAGTGTAATTTGGATCTACTTTAACACGTATATTATTAATTTTAGATTTATCCCGCATTATTTTGGCGACCCAATGCATATATAAACTGAAAACTAAATCTTAAACACAAAAAGGATTACTAAAATTTGAGACATTATATTCTACCATTGCCAAATACGTCACAGGATGTCATTACGCTCAAATAATATCCGTTCACCGACGTGGAAAGCACGTATAGAGGAAATTCGCATCTCACAGAAATGATTCCTTGTGTCAGAAATTTGATTTTATGCAAAACGCCTTTGTTTTCTGGATTAAATTCGCCGATCCACCGGTTATTCAACCCTCTGCAGTTATTAAATTAAAAAGTGTCTGCAAATCTTTTAAGGCGGGTTTAGAGCGTTAATATTTATTTTAAGTATAATCCAGAGCGAAAATAATAAAATTTAATACTTAATTACATAGTTTTAGAAATCAGATAGTAACCGACTCTAAGCATTTAGTTAAAAATTGACTTGAATAATACATCTCCGGATTTATTTCCGGTAATTATTAATACTAATTATTACTTAGTAGCATTAAATCCCTTTTTACTGAATTAAAATATTATAATCGTGGAAAAAATCGGAATTACTTTACTATTAATATAACTGTTTTAAATATGGCTAAAATTTATATATAATTTTATAATTATTACTGTATCAAATTCTATCATTATTGAAAATAAACAAAATCTATTTTAACACCATTAAAATAAAACTGAATATCTTGCCTTGAACATAATGAAGTACATACCAATATAAGCATACTTCCATACCTTTATGTGATTTAAAGGTTCATAATAAAGCATTTTTAAGTAAAAAATTTGGAATATAAAGGGCAATGTACTCAAGATGAAACAGACTAAACTTTAACAATTTTTACAGATTTAAGAATTAGTGTATCCACATCATTTTTTACTTTTTCCTCCCATTAAAGAAGAAAAAAAAGAGAAAAATTGAATTTATCCTCGTATACACTAGGGTTGTTAAACCCAGAAAACCGACAGCAAAAAGTTTGCAAATTGGAAATGTTTGAATATCGTTTACGAAATAAAAGAAGTTAAATATTTCGGTTTTCCAGTATGTTACTTTACAAGAGGTCTTGCAAAATAGAAATATAATCCATCAAAATCTAGCAATATGAATTTTTCTTTGGAATTTCTTAAATTATCGAAATCACAGTGGATTTGACAATTATTCTAGTGTCTTAAAAATTGAAACCTGAAAAAAAATTATTTTCTTGGAAACATGGTGTAAGAACAAAACAAAACTTTTTACAAGAGGTTTTGCTTCCATATAACATGGTGGGGATTATTATTTTAAATCGTATCTTTTAATTTCCAGAATGCTCTTGAGTCTCTGCTAATTCTGTGCTGAATTTCAGAGTTTTTTCCAAAATTTTTCCAAGGCCTTTTTCCAAACCAAACCAAAATCAAACTGCCGAAGTAATTGATTTCCGCTACGCATTTCAACAACATATTACACAAAGCCTAGAAAGTACATAGTACATAATATTTGAATTTTTTGTTCCGATATAAAATTACACAATTTAATAACAATATAACGAAACACATTTCTATCACACTAGATAAATAATGGGGCAGGCTATCGTGGATAAATTGTGTATTTTTCTATAAGTGATTGAAAAAAATTAGTTTCATTTATTATTGTCATAACAGACACTTGTCGAAATAGTGGATTTCTTTAAGAATGCCGATTTTTATTCAAAATAGAAATAAAATAATAATATTTACACACGCAAAAACTGAAATACTTAAAAGTAAATAGCAAAGTTGCAGGTTATTGAAAACAAAGTCGATGAAAACATGAACTTGCTTTGAAGGATTTGTTAATATACAGAAATGATCTTAGAAGTCAATCAATTTCTTTCGCCTAGGCTAACTTAACGCTGTTGTGTTAACATTGAGCCCGCTACTTGTTTATTTTCTCAATACGCTTTATGATCCTCCTAGGAAAAACATTTTTGTCGGGAACGAACGAGAAAAGCGGAACGCTAGAGATATGTAATGGGGATAAAAATAACTGCTAGAAAGTGTGTGAGAAAACGTTGGCACCTGATCGTCCGTAAATTTCGGTTGTAATAAAAGGTGGACTCTAATCGTGTTACGACCATCGGATTTATAATATCACCCAAGCGTTAGAAAAACGAAAAAGAACTCTGCACGCTCTGGAGAGCCAAATGGATTTCATTTATTTTTGCAATTTTGTCGAGGTGTTTTCGAAATACCCGCTATTTTTGCAATAACGCCCGTAGTGTCTGCCAACAAATTTATTTACCGCAACTAATTCATGTTATGTTATGGAGTCTCGAGCCTTGGAATCCTGCTAGGCCCATATTCACTTCTGTTACAATCGGATTCCTGTGTAATGACTTTATTACCTAAACATTTTCTTTAATTTGCACATTACGTCTGGTTATTAGCTGAGCAAGTTTAAAATAAAATGATATTGTGTTGCATTATGTGTCATTAAATACGAACCACTTTATATATCACGGAATGGAATTTCATATTCGCGACAAGTATTATCAATTTAAATCCGAATAATTTTTTATGAGGCAGGCAGTTACTTAAGCAGTTTGGTAATATGATACATTTATTTGTTAACTCATTTTGATTTGGTTTGGTTTAATAGTTTAATGAAACTTAGTCCTTACCAAAGTCTTTTAATGAAAAATACTGGATAGCTATATGGATAGCAATAAAAAAATAATCAGTGCACAAAATAAACACAATGGTATTTTTTTGGTTTTTGAAACGTAATTTTTTTTAATTGTCAAAAAGCAAAAACAAAAGGAAAATTGATAATTATAATAATCCGTGTAGATATCTCTATCCCTTATGCAAGCTTCTATCCGCGCTGGCATGCTTCTTAATAAATTATCAACGTTGTCTTAGGGTATGTTTTGCCATTCTGCTAATGCTGCATCAATAAGCTGTGCGATATTTCTTGGATTATTTCGATGAGCTCTAACCCTTTTTTTGAGCTGGTTCTACAAGTGTTCGATAGGGTTTAGATCTGGTGAACATGCAGGCCTATCTGAAACTATGATACCTTCCGTTTCAAGACATTCTCTAGCCACTCTGCTGGTATGAGGAGGTGCATGAAGGTAAAATTATCCAAATTGCAGCTCTCCAAAACCGAACCATTGGTTCTAGCACTAAATCAACATACCTCCGACCGGTTAAAGTTTGTTGAAGTGGTAATAATGGAGTTTCCAGCATAATACCTCTCCAGAATATTATAGTTCCTCCTATGGTACAGATTTGGCAGCCTGGAGTCTCGCTCGTTTTCCTGCAGCTCTGAGAACCCGAATTCGATGGTCATCTGATCTTAGGCCAATTCTGGTCGCATCCGAACTTTTGTCAATTCTCAATTGTCCAGTTTTGATGTTGAAGGTACCAATTTAGCCGGTCAATTTTATTTTGCCGATAACTGTGGGACCCGTAACTGAAACGTTCACACCTGTAGCTGCCAGAAATTGTCTTTGTAGCTGGATGAGAAACATTGGCATTTCTTTTAGCAATTTGGCACACAAAGCGGTCTTGTTCAGTTGTGATTCTTTGACGACTTTGTCTGGGCCTAGTTCTAAGTTCCTTGCATATGTTTTCGATACAACACCCTGGGTAACGCCTGTTATCTCTGCTACGTCTCTTTGGGTCATTCCTTGTTCAATGAGAGCAATAATTCTTCCCCTATGTACATCTGTTAATCCAACATAAGACTTTTTTGGATCTAATGAAAATTACCAGACAATAATTATTTTACTACTGAACACAAAATTCACAAGAAAATAACTCGCAGCAGTCGTTTATTCTTTATTATCATGTTTATTTACAACAAAAGTCTTTATCTTAAAGTTGTATACCCATTTTTACTCTTGCAAAAAGTTTAGTCAAAAATAAAGAATGATTCCATATATTTTGAAACAGCCACTTTTAAATTTAGGTCTTAAATTCATAAGCCAACAAAAATGCAATTTGAATAAATTTATTGTAAAGATTTACCAATATTACTTGACAATTATTATAGTAGAACAGAAAAATAATATAAGAAAAATAAAACAGAAAATAATATAAGGTTCCTTAATAAAAAAACACATAAAAAACCTTTAAATTAAAATATGTATTTACATGTATTATGAGACGACATTGCATTTTATACTTTTATTAAGTATAATTTAAAAATATTCTATCAAAAAATATATCAACCATGATTTGATTAAATTCTTGAAAGACTAATGATATTAAAAAATACCTATTATAAAAAATCCAATTTATATTTTATAGTTACCTTGATTTAACGATATGTCTCTTTGTTACAGGTCGAAGAAACAGAAGGCCGTACCGTTGGTATTAAAAACAACTGCAGTTTCCACGAAGTGTCCGTGGCAGAAAACTCACAGGACATCTACAAAGCTTTCGACGCCGTACTTAGCGAATGTCGTCAAGCACCTCAAAAAACGAGAAAATTCTCCGTATCCAAGATGCTAGGCACCCTTATAGGCAACGTGAACACCAAAACACCACCGGAAACGAAACAGGGTGGTACTGTCGTAGTATGTCACAAATCCGACCTCTACAAGTCCAGAGTCTTGAGAAGGAGACAGAACTTTACAGCTACTGCGTCCCTTTGACTATCGGTGAATGAGTCATAAATTTATTTGATAAGAGTGCTCTGTATATACGATGCGTACTGTAAATTCGAATTATCTGTACAGAATTAAATTTTAACAGTTTTATATCATAGATAAAACCGTTATAAAATTTGAACTTATCTTGAGGATCTTATTTTATTACACTAGAAAACTGTTCTGGTTCAGGTGCATTAAATATAACATTCGTTAAAAGACCAATGTATTAAAATTTACTTAAAGATTTATTCTGCTCGTTTAAAATGTAAGTATTAATGTAAGTCTGTAATTTAAGAATCTTAAAGCTAATGCCTGACTTGGTTTATTTATTATATATGTATATATTATTAAAAACATTTGTGAATCATATCAACACAAATTATGCAGATTAGACTTAAGAGTTCTGAGTAGCAAATTATAATATAATCTAGATACTACTCAGAATAACATCACAATAAAAATTATATTTATAAAACACTTGAAGGAACTAAATGTTGTATATAGTGAAATAAGTACTGAAAAAAACTACACCTTTTTATAATTAATTTTTTCATTATAAAAACTCATATGTATACATATGTATTCAATTCAGTATGCATCGTATATAAAGAATTATTATGGACATATTACCTCAGTTTTATGAGGAGAAAAACATCATGGTCCCTGTAAAAATACATTTTTTTTTATTTTTGGGAACAAATTTTCTTTGATACGGTTATTTTTATACGATAATAATATGTTTAAACTAAATGTTTGCATGAAGTGTTTCATATTAAACATTAAATAAGATCAGTTTTTTGGGATAAAAATAAAGTTACTCGCTTGCAAATGCACATTAAAGTTAAACATATCTGAAAACATTTTTAAATGGATTATTATCCCAGGAGACTAAATTAAAACTAATAGTAATATATTTAGTTTTAATATTCATTCATGTTACTGTAAATATATTTATCAAATTCACTTAGTATACTTTTATATAAATATGATTGTGTGTGCTAAGAAAATGGCTGTGATATATTCATTTCTGGTTTTATTAGAAAATTAGATATAAGTTGTAGGTAATAAAGTATAAATTTATTTATTAGATCATGTAGTTTTATTTGCTCCTATTAATAACCTTTTAAGCATTACGGACTTCTCATTTTGAGTAATAATTTCAATATGAAACAGCATTAAAACTTTAAAAATAAATATGAACACTAAATATCCTGAACAAAAATGAGTTTTCATATAGCTAAATTTAGTATTTTACATTAAAATTTTAATTTAACAAATTTGTTTTTTTGGCTAAGATATTTAATCCATACTACATATCAAGAGATGGCAGTTTAGCCAGAGAATAACATTATTTTTAACTAATGAATGCTTTGCGGTTATAGACATGTTAATTTTTATACTGCTGGAAACAAAAAGAAGCAGTTCCTTGTTAATGTTCCACAGAACGGCTACTGCACCCCTTTGACTATCGACGAATGAGTCTTAATTTATTTGATAAGATAGCTTAGTATACAGGGTGTTACAAAAACATGTACCATCTCTTGTGGGGAGATTTCTTTCGTAAAAATAAAGTTTTCATATTGACATTGGACATTCTGTAGCTTTGTTTCATAGCTACAGAAGGTTAGGTTCGATTTATCATAATTTTCTTCCAAGTGCTTTTAGCATGAATGAAATTTTGAGGCTAAAAGTTACTATAAGTGTGACATAATTTAATGCTAAAAAAGGGTCGACATATATTCACTAGAGACGTGCATATGGGTTTTACCACTGAAATATTTTTCTAAAAAAAAGCATGTATGCCACTGACTTTTTTCTTGTTAGCGAAATAGTGTAAGCAGTTTAATGCCGATTAAAAGTTGTCTCTTGATATTTTGTCGATTTCGGCCTTCTTGATGAGATAAAAGCAATTTTATTAATATCATTAACTTGCGAAAGTTTTAAATAAGTTCTCATTGATTCCTCATCAAAAATACGAAAAAAAGTTCCTGTAAACATGAATATGGAAATGCATAGTTTTACAGTTACAGGATGATAAATCTTTTTAAATTTTTTTTTTGTAATTATCTTAAATAGGTACCACTATTTTTTTATTTGAAATTGCTGCGGCGCACATGTTTTTTTAATGCTCCTATTAATAACCTTCTAAGCATTACGAACTTCTAATTTTAAGTATTCAATATGAAACAGTATGAAAAATATACAAATAAACATAACTATGAAATACCATGAACAAAAATGCGTTTTTACATAGCTAAATTTAATATTTTACTTTATTTACTTTTATTTTTTTTATTACCTTAATCTGCATGTTATAATGATAGGCAAAATAAATACATTTTCCAGAAATTGACAGGGATGACAACGATAATGAGCTGACAGTTATTGTATTTTTCGGAAAACTTTCTGGTTCGCTAAAATGTTCTTAGGAAAACTATGATTTCCGGCCATTTTCCATTAGAGCAGTCTCCGTTTCGATGATTTGCTTGCGGTCAATTTTCCTTTGGCCATTTATTCTTGGACAATTTTCTGGATACGCATTGCTTATTTCTTTCAAGTGTGTTGAATTAGCTACACTGTAAAAGAGAGTTGCCATGATAGAACTTTTATTTTGCTCCAAGCAACCATCAGAAAATAATCTACATATATAAAATGCTAATGTTTATCTGTGTCGTCTCTACTGAAGTAACGACTTGCTCTAGAAAGTTGCTTTTTTTACTAAAAGATAGCTAATTGGCTCTTCTGAAATCTGTAGTCGCCGGAATTTTTGTTTTTCATTTAATTAAAAAAAGTATTTTTTTCCTGATGCCGATGTTGTGGCGGATGCGCCAGGCTTCAACTAGTAGAAAATAAAAGAGAGAATGTGTCATTTTCTTTCGCACGCATTTTGTATGTAACTTAAAACAAAGGACCTAACTCAAATTCCATCTTTCTTGTAGTATAACAATTGATATAACAAAAAGCTCTATCTCAATATACGTCTCTCCATCATAATGAAGAATTCTAGCAATTGAGATGGGGCAAATTTTTAAACGAATATGAAATGAATAAGGTATAATATTGAGATGAGTAAATTCCCTATGTTAAAAAAATTACCTATTGGGTATGTCATGACGTTGATATCTCAAAATCGCCAAAAATCAAGTTACGACTTTTCGTCATAAAGCCGACGATATGTACTTATATTTTTCATATAACAAACATATGAATTAACTAAGAGAATCATTATTACTTACAGGTTATCTTCAGTAAAAGACAAATTAAATATTTATTGACATATATGAAATATTTAATAAAATAAAGCACCAAAATTACCACAATACACCAAAACACTTTTACTTTTGCACTGGAATTTTATATGTATTGCGGTTATTTTAGTGTTTTATTTTATTTTGCTGTTGTAACACTAAAGGTTCCAACCTCCAACTGTAATATAAGGTAGGCTAAACTAAAATAAAATACCATAATATAGTAGGTAGACTTTTATAAATATTGTGTAAGGTACAAACAGACAATCTAATAGAGGTTATCCTTATAAATGTACATTTCTATAGTAATAACTAAAAAAATATTTTTTGGTTTTGTTTTATTTACAAAAATCGTGGCAAAAACATAAATATAGTATAAATTCCTTTTTGGATGAAAGCTTAACACTGACGTAACAAAAATTTAATAACAATAAATTAATAGTACTTACATTACATATACGAAAGTACTAAGTAAAACTAACTAAATTATAGATCTTTTATTAAAATTATCTATCACTCGCTGGAATACAAAATTGTAAGGACTAAAAAACTATCACTTAGACTTTGATATAGCCATTCCGACACCGACAATAGCGCCAACTGCTACCAATACTCCACCAGCTACCGCCATACCCATGAGGCCCTCTTTTTCCATTTTCTTCTTTATTGTCTGTTCTAATGACATTACTTGTTGATTTCCTAATGAATATAAAGATATTTTAGACATTTTCAAATTATAATATAAATAATATGTATAAGCTGTTATGTTTTAAACATTTTGAATTAATGTAAGTGTTTTAAACATGTTTTAATTTCTTTGTTTAAAACTATTTACAACTCTGCTTTAAATATATTTGATATTAAGATGATTTTTTTGTGAAAAAATAAGAAAAACTCTTTCATTTAATTATCTAATTAAAAAAAACTCCTAATACAAAAAGAATAAGAAACAAAAAAGTCACCTCGATCCTGCCAACTTTCAAAATAAAACATAGAGGATGAGAGCATAAATGTTGTCGTTGGACCAATCCAAAAGTTATGTAAACGTTATGCAGTTCGTGGTCTTTTTTACTTTCTTAAAAATATTTATACTCATAACGTGTTAAAATGAAACAAACGATGTAGCGACAGACAGGAGCGGATACAGAAATCTATTTAAGGGGGGGGCCCAAATAAATTTTAATGTAGAATATGCTTTTTAGAGCGCCATTTTTAACCCAAAAGCTTAAATTTAACCCAATTTATAGATTTTAGGGGGGGGGCCTTAGCCCCATGGAACCTCTCTGTATGGGACCCCTCTGTAAACTATGCTATAATTCGGTGAAGTACCATTAAGTAATCTAAAAATTGAATTAAGTTATGCAATCTTATCGTTTGATACATACTTATAAATTTTAAGTAGGTTAGGTACCTACGTTTAAATTTTGAACGACACTATGCAGTTTAAAATAAAGTTTAGAACAACATTATCCCGACTTTAGAGTTAAATCAATAAAAATCATTTTAAATCTTAAAAACACACCGTAAGATTAAAAATAACAAAAGATATGTTTTTTCAAGCCTGTATAGAATCAATATGGAGATACATAAATACATAAATTACATTTAAAGGCTTGTAAATATATAATTACCATTTTAAAATATAGTATACCTATAAAATACATATTCTTTTAAAAATATTCAGCAAATGCCCCAGAAAAATATTTTATTTATGGTAACTTCCACAACTACAGGTGATATTTATGATCTGTGTAATATTATGAGTCTATGTTATGAGGTGATATTTATGATCTGTATATATATTATGAGTATCTGATAGTCAAGCAGCGTTAAAGGCGATCAACTCAGTATCAATCAATTCGAAATTGGTCAAAGAATGCATAGAGAAGCTGAATAAATTAGGCAAAGAAAACAAAGTCCTCCTACACTGGGTGCCTGCTCACCAAGGGATAGAAGGCAATGAAAAAGCAAATAATCTAGCTAGGAAAGGAGCGAACACTCCACTAACTGGAGCAGAACCGTTCTGCTTTCCAAGTGGTAACCAACTCAAGGCGGAACTGAAGAACTTGGAAGATTCCATCCGCAACCTGGAATGGAAATCTTGCAATGGTCTAAGACACTCGAAGAAGTTTCTGAGGGCTTATGATCAAGAAAAATCACAGATCTTCCTGGGTCTGAGTAAGAACAATCTTCGGATTGTCACGGGGTTTTTAACAGGACACTGTCTCCTCAATGAACACCTCAGTAGATTGAAACTAAGAAGAAACGGCGAATGCAGATTCTGTGGGGAAGATGGGAAACACCAGTACACCTCATCACTGAGTGCGCCGAGACGACAACCATTCGTGCCATGAATTTTGGTACGACTGATATTGGAAATGGAGAACTACCCTCTAAAACCGTCCCAGATACTGGCTTTTGTCAAAGCCCTGGGACTGTATGATGAGTTATGATTCAAGAAAGGGGGACACAATGAATCTGTAAGGTCGAAGTGATTAACTCCCCTCCCACTCATTCTAAATTCTAAAATTCTAAATTCTAATTGGTACATAATATAGTATGTTAATTTTAGTTTGTCCCCCTTTAACTAACTGACTATAACTTTTTTATTTTCGGAGTTACATCACTTATTAGAAAATTAAATTGTGGGGTTTTTAGTCAAGTTTTATGGCATATTACCATAAATCATAAATGTCATAAGCTGTCAAATGTTACAGTTATTGGGCGCATTCAGTAAACACACTGTTATTAACTGGTAAAGACCTACCGATGACTTTTCATTGAACGATTAAATTACCGGTACGTAAATAAACCGGAAACAAAATACGGTAGGCCCTCAAGTGACCGGTGACCACAACCGGTGAGTTACCATTGGTATTCACTTTAATTTTTTGCATCGGTGGAGTAACCGGTGTGTTTACTGAATGCGCCTATTGATAGACAAACTACTATCTTTATTTTAAATTGGATACCCTATACAGTCTGTTCTATCGCCGACCTGGACATAGGAAATCCCATGTAAATTTTAAAAATGATGAATAAGTTTTCCCTATTTTATTTTACAGAAAAAAACTTATTGAAACTTTTTAAAGAACTTCTTAAAATGAAGCAAATTGTTCATTTTGAATGATATATACAAATTTCGTTCTTGAGTTGTGAGAGATACAAAAATACTAAATTAATCAAAAAAATAATACGGCCCTGATTAAACTACCAAATATGCCACTTTAATACATGATGAAATAATCTTTTAATGTTAAATTGACTTTATTGTTGCCAAAAATAATTTTAAAGAAATATTTTTTTTAATGCCATATTGACTTTAAACTTTTTTTTGGTTTGTGCTAAATATAATTCGTAAATATAAATAACACAATTAAATAAAAAAATTGTTTAGTGTATTATGGAGAAAAAAGTGTACAGGCTGTAAAGGATTTACTTTTTGTACATTTTCCAAATATGCCAGACCAATTATTGACGACTATAAATGTAAGAGAAGAATTCGAACATGAACAGTTATTAAAGACTATAAATACAAAAAGAAGATTAATATTGATGAGCATCATGGAAAAATAATAAATAAAAATTAATTAAATATTCTGTTACAAGTGGAATATGAAAACCAAGTAAGTACCAAGATCCTTGGAGAAATAGTCGAAAAACATCGAACCACTTCTTAGCGAATTTGAAGAAACATAATTATAACCAATAATAAGTCATTTAAATATTTCAAACACCAAGAATTATTGGACGGAGGTAAAGAACGTAGGACAAATTTTATTCAATACTTAATTTTGTGAATTGTTTAGTGATAATAAATACATTTTCTTTTGAAGCAGTATGTTTACTTGTCTACAAAATATATTTGATTCTTAAAAGATTCATATAGATATGTCCACAGTGTAGTTTTTGTAACTTTTAATAGAGAATATGGAGAGTAATTTCAAAATAATTTTTGACAGAACTTTGTAAAAGAAAATCATAATAGATTTGCACTATTGCCAACTTAGAGGTTTTCCGCTAGATCTAGCGGTTTATTTTTCAGTTTAGCGGGAAAAAATATTATTTAACGGCTAGCAGTTTTTTAGCAGTTTACCATATTTGATTAAAAAATAAGTAAAATTGACACAAAAATTATTATTTCAATTCTAAAAAACGATTTTTTTTAAAATTTGCCTCAATATTCGCTTTATAATCATATATTCTTATAGTACCTAGAGCTAGAATATTAGAAGTCACTTTAAATTCGTCTTATCTGGCGATGAAAGCCCTAATAAAAGGTTCAAAATTAGACAAAAATGATAATTTCAGGTTCAATATCATTCCTAGCGGATTCTAGCGCTTTTAAATATACGAATCTAGCGGGTCTTCACTATCGATCTTCCAGAGTTGGCAACCCAGTAGATTTGTCATATTGTGACATAACTTGTGATTGTCATGTTTGATTGTTCAGGGCCGTATTATTTTAAATTTTTGCCTAATTTAGTATTTTTATATCTCTTATAACTCAAGAACAAATATGAATTTGTTCTGAATAAACCATTCAAAATGAACAATTTGCTTCATTTTAAAGAGTTCTTTAAAAAGTTTCAAATATTTTTTTCTGTAAAATAAAATGGGAAAAACTTATTCATCATTTTTAAAATTTAAATGGGATTTCCCGAGGGATTTCCTTTATCCAGGTCGGCGATGCATCACACTGTATATTAGAAGTGTACTGGGTACTTTTTAGCATATTATTTTCTAATATCAAAAATATATCATTCTTATTAAAATTCTATAAAATATAAACCAATGTTATTTGTTTTAACATAGTTAGGTTGTTGACTATCTTATATAGACCATACTATACTGTTAGTTTTACGTTTAGAAATTTAATGTCAACATTAAATAAAACTCATAAGAAGAAAGGGTACGAAATATATTTTTGATATCAGAAAAAATATGCTATTAAATATCAAATACATTAATCTCTAATATACAGAAAACTTGATTAGGTAAATCTTCTCTCCAAAAATAAAAAAGTTATAGTCAATACAATAACAGTACAATATTGATGAAAAATATAAACTCTGTTGCATGTCATTTGTCATAACCACTATGTTTAAATATTTGAAAAACACAATATTGAATCATATTAACTAATATTAGCTGATGACATGGTCAAAGTTCAAACTCATTAAATATATTTATATTAGGAGATTTATTTTAATAAGTAGATATGTTATTAGAATTTAAATGATAATTTAGGCTTTTCGAAACATATTATTTACCTGGTTCAATTGACAAGAATGATCTAACGTATCCTAATGCTTTTGAATATTCCTTTAGTCTCGCAGTTCCAATTGCTAAGTAGTATAAATAGTCTCTTTGGCCTTCTTCATTCGTTCTGTATAGATCTTCTAGTAGAGCTATGCCTTTCTGTATATCAGCTGGGTATTTGCTTCGAACAAGACAGAATGCATAATCGAATTGTGCCTTAGGGGTAACGTCATTTTTGTAGAGCTGTCCGTGGTAGATTTGTTCGAATTTCTACAACACAAATAAGAATTTTAGATGAACATTATTAACGACGCAACAGAATTATAGGTTAGACAGTTGCAGTCAGGGTTTATTTTTCTCTGCGGTAACACAATCATTGAAGTAAGTTCACAATAAATAAGAAATTTACCTTTAAATCTTCTGGTAGGACCGTTTCTGTTAGTACATCAGCCATTTTTCAGTAACATATGATTTTCAATTTACCACGAAAACCTTGAAACGTCAAAATAATGACTAATTTTATGATTATCTAAAAAATGACAGATACAGAGAGTTCCACCACAGAGTAAATAATGATAAGAGATAAATCAAAAATAATCCTTAAATTAAAAATAAAATATATTTTAGAGCATGAATCAACACATTATCTAAATTATCATTATTCAGTACTATTTATCAACTTTTTGCTAAATGATATTTCCAGTTATTTCTAATTTCAGTATTTCTATGAGCAGCAGAAAGAAAAATGCAAATTAAATAAAGATTTCTGTATAAATGAATGGCATAGCTATTATACATTTCTGTAATATAAATATGGTTTAACAACAATGTAACGGAAACTGTAAAAATAAAGGAGATTTCTGTGGGGAAAATTTCACAGTTATTGTAGATATCTGTGAAAATACTGATTTTCATGTTTAGGATAATTTCCGTTAGATGGCAGCAAAGTCGTTCCATAATTTGTTTTTAAAAGTTTCTAGGATTTTAATTTAATTTTTAATATAGTAACACAGATAACACATAATCTTATGTGTTATCTGTGATAGTAATTAGTTTGTGAATATATTCTTTCTTTATAAGCTAAATATTTATAAGGTAAATATGTATATCGTTTGTAGAACTAAGTAATTTTCACATCCTTTACAGAATTTTTATTTTGACGATACCTTCCAGGGGGTTATATACAGGGTGTCCCAATATTCCGTGGATATAGAATTACTTTGTATTTTTCGAATCAAAATAAGTTCATTGGATACAATTTACCTCTATACAGAAGTGCTTCGATTGTCCGCCTTAAAATTATTTTTGTCCGCTTTTAAAATTTATTAATTTTTTTAATCTTTTTATGAAGCTTATTGTCAAATATTATTTGTGATACTAATATAAAATTCCATATTTTCGCCAACTAGATTATTAGAGCCAGAGTTAGAGAGCATAATAATCGTTTTTATGCACATCCATAGCTTGATTTGACAAAAAAACATTTTTTGGAAGTCAGCTTTGGAAATTTTTTTCCCAACAACTATGAGTGGTGGCGATTTATTACAAGAGACAGAAAATATAGTAAATACTAGAAGGAACAAAAAAAACTCGGTCGTCGGTTGAGTGGAAGTCAAATGTTAAAGCACTTAGCAAAACATAGATACTTAGCTAAAATCATATTCAAATCGGAATAATGGTTCTTAAAATATATACAGGGTGAGTTATTTTCTACGATGTTTTCTATGGGTATCATCGGAAATTACTGGAGATAGAGAGTCGGTTAAATGGGGAAAGAATTGCAGTTTTGTGTAGCCATAAATATGCGCCTTTCTGATTTTTAAAAAAGTTCATGGCTAACTAGAAATTTCGAAATAAAAAAATTTGGGCTATTTTAAAAATGGTCCCTAATTCCATTATAATCTATTTTAGACAAAAAAATTTCATATAGAAGTTGTAAATAATTACATCCTTAATGAGATTTTGTTCTCCGTTTTTTTCCTAAAGCCTGTCATTTTTGACATAATATGACACAAATTTATGTTTTTTTGAATGGAACTCCATAAAAAGCGTAATTTTTAAGCTTTTTAGCGATATAAGCTATATGTTTTTTTTTCGAAAAATTACTGAGTTATAGCCAATTCTTATCTTTCTGGACTAATTTCACTTAGTTGGTATGGTATTCTTATTCTGTTATTTATTTAATTATTATAATTTATAACTTATAAAAAGACAGAATATTTTATTAAACGGTTCTTTATAATTTACATTACACAAACTAAAACTAGAAAAAATAATATCACTATATATAGGTACCTACTTTAAGTTATTTTAGAAAATGTTCAAAAAATATACCGCATAAAATTTAAAATGGATAGGTCAGGTGATTGAGGAGGCCCATGCAATTAGTCCACCTCTTCCTATCCCTGAGTTTGGATAATTATGATATACATAATTTTTAACATTTTTGTTTCATTATGGGGGGGGATGTCATAATAAAAGTCATTTGGAACCACTCTAATGATGCGCGAGTCTCTAAATTTAACTTTTCTAAGATGTCTTGAAAACCGTTCTCTAAAAAGCGTATGTAACGTATCCTCGAAAATGTATGGCCAAGAAAAATTGAACCAATAACCCTACACGCTTTTCTTCATTTGAAAAAATCAAATTTACAATTTTTGGTTACTTTAATTTACAAAGTTTGGATGTAACAGTTTCACATTTCTGAGAGGAAAGACGATTGAACTTGTTTCCATGGCTAACTAAGTGAAATTGTTTAAAAATGATAAGAATTGGCTTCAGTAATTTTTCGAAAAAATATATTAGATATAGCTTATATCGCTGAAAAGTTTAAAACGACGCTTTTTATGAAGTCATGGCCAACTACGGTTTCCATTAAAAAAAAACATAAGTTTGTGTCATATGTCAAAAATGACAAACTTTAGAAAAAAGCGGAGAACACAGTCTCATTAAGGATGTGATTATTTACGACTTTTATCTGAAAACTTTTTGTCTAAAATATATTATAATGGAATTAAGGACCATTTTTAAAATAACCAAAATCTGTTTTTTTTTCGAAATATCTAGTAAACCATGAACTTCAAAAATCTGAAAGGCGCATATTTATGACCACACAAAACTGCAAATCTTCCCCATTTAACCGACTCTCTATCTCCAGTAGTTTCCAAGATATCCATAGAGAACATCGTAGAAAACTCACTCTGTACATATATCTGAAAAAAATGTGTTAATTTTTTTAAAGTTTGATTTTTAAACGAAGCACTTTTGTATAGAGGTAAATTATGTCCAATGAACTTATTTTGATTCGGCAAAATAAAACACTAACTACAATCCACCAAAAGACTTTACTTTTGCACTGGACGCGCGTTTCGCTAACCATGTTACCATCTGCATAGTTTTAAAACTAGTTTTGTTGATCTGTTGATGTTGCAATATGGTTAGCAAAACGCGTGTCCAGTGCAAAAGTAAAAGGTTTTGGTGTATTGTGGTGAATTAGTGTTTAATTTTTCTTTTGGAACACCAAAGGTTCCAACTCCCAACTATAATAAATATAGAATTCCATTTTAAAAAATAAAAATATTGCGTAAAAATATATTTATGTAAAGGGCTATTTTTTGGTAGAAAATTGTAATTATATGAATTTTTTTATTAAAATTTTGAAGATAAGGTTAGGTAGGATTCATACATCAAAACAAGGGATGAAGATTTAAAACGTATTTATTTTGTAAATAAGTATGATAGTTTAAGATAAATCATTATGTACAAAACATTATTTTATATTTACAGATAAAAATGTACTTAAAAGGTACATTACACATGCACTCGCACATTCACCAAAATAATTTATCATGACTAGTTTAAAACTGCAATTAGCTGTATTTTATTTTTATCTAATATAAACAAATTCGCCGTGGACATTTACAAAACAATCAGCTGCGTGTATCGCCATTGCATATTAAATTGCTTACAATGAAATAAAAAACTAGTACCTAAATAATACTCCCAAATCATTTGATATTTACACAGGGCTGCCATAAAACTAATTACAGATTCACTCAATATGTAATACTCTCAAACATTTATTTGGAATGCAATATTCCTGTCTGCTAGATCGTTTCTAGCTGACAAAATCAAAATAAATACTCTTATGTATATTTTATATCGTGATTTAAAGTATTTACAAATATATATAGTTTGTATCGTAGAGAAATATTGCATATTATTGTTACAGTACATCGACTTAAATATTTTCAAACCGTCTGAAAATACAAAATCTAGCTTTGCACAGGCTCAAGAGTAGCATGGCGATATCATTAAAAATGAACATATTCATCTTGTAAGAAATAATCTCTTGAGCAGTTAATTGTGGAACACAAAGTACGGTATATTTTAATCTTTCTTAAAGAAATTGTGCTTGTATATCTCAGAAAATATATGAAATATTTACAAAGAAAATAATTTTCTGAGCATTCAAGTAAGTACTATATATCTGAACAATAAGATTATTCCAGGTCAAATATCTTCTAAATGATTAATCGTATACTCTACATTATACGTTTGGTTATATGCATGTCGTGTTCCATTACATGTTATTGCCATACTGCCCTTGGTGCCTAACAGTCCAATTTTAATTTATAGAAAGAAACAACGCGAACGCCCGCAGGAGGCCAACGTAACGACAGCTGTGCCTAGTTGCATGTTGCCACATTTCTCCACTGTTCCATATAATATCTTTTTTATAATTTATGACTTATTTATTAACATTATACATTGTCCGTAAAGCTGGTAAAACAATTCTGTAATGATTAAAGATTATTTTTTTTATTAATTGTGATTATACAGGATGTCCCAGAAATAAGTGCAAGTATTTTAAGGAGTGGTAGATCTCGATAAAAGACATATTTTCTCTTTATCGTTTTTCAAATAAGTCCAAAATAACGAAGTTATTTTACTTTGAAAATTTAAAAAAAATATATTTTTTTGGTAAAATTTTGAGAGCCACTGGATCTTTTCTGGATTTTCTTTCTTGTAAATTTACTACCTATGTTGCCATATTATCAAGAAATTATGTTTTTTAACTAAAAACTAAAAAAAAAATCCAAAATTTTTTTCAAAAAATCCCGAATTTTCAATTTTTTTTGCCTTATAGGCCTGTTTCTAAGGTTGAACTATACTTCCAGTTAAAATACTTGTACTTATTTCTGGAACACCCTGTATATAATTCAGACAATCCTACGAAAAAAATGTATTTTTAGATTATTTCATCTATTTTTAGTATGTTAAATATTTCTACTTAGTTTAAACGATTTTAATAAGAGTTCGAATTTATAATTTTTGGTTGAACATGCAGAGTATACAGGGTGTCCCAGACTGAGCGTGCATTAGAAGTTTCTAGAGAACCAGAATATCTAGATCGGAGATTTTTTGCACATCACTGTTTTACAACGAGATCTATCGATTAAAACTATTTTCAGTAAGGCGGCACTTCCGGAAATACCGGAAGTTGACAGCAACTTTCTTAATAAATCGTTTTTAAGTTGTCTTCTTTTTATGTTGCAGTGGTTGTGGTAATCACAAAATTTGACGTTTAGGCTATAGACATTTTTTTGATATCCAGTTTTTATCGTCCAAAACTTTTAAATATTTTTTTCTCAAAAACAGTTAATGTTAAGTACAGAATGTTTATCAACATTCATAAAATTTTACAGAGAATTTAAGTACCTATTTAATCAAAAATGGGGATATACCCATTTAAAATAAGAAAGTTGCTGTCAACTTCTGGTATTTCCGGAAGTGCCGCCATATTGAACATATTTTTAATCGATATATCTCTTTGTGAAACTATGATGTGCAAAAAATCTCCGATCTAGATATTGTCTCTAGAAACTTCTAATACACGCTCAGTCTGGGACACCCTGTATACCTTCTATATCTAATAAAACGCAAGAATAATTTAAACTATTGTAAAAATATTCAATTTAGGAGAACAATTATCTTTGGATAGACAAAATTCTAGCACTAGCTTGACACAAAATGGTGAAAAAAATATACAAAAAAGGCAATTTGACATTTTTAGAGACTAAATGCCCTTTTATTAACAGAAAATATATTTTGGTATTTTCATAAATAAATTGGTGGCTAACAGTGATAGGCAACTTGTTTAATGTTAAATTGTTAATTGTATTTCTATATACCATGTGTTGCATCGCTGATCTGAATATAAAAAATCTCAAGTGAATTTTTAATTTCGAATAAAACGCCGAACAAAAATCCCATTTTATTTTAGGGAAAACTTTTAAAAATTTCATTAAAATAAAGCACACTCTCGCTATTGAATAGTTACAAAGTTATTTTTAGTTATAAAAATATTATCTACCAAATTAATTGAAAAGGTAGTCTGGACCTGGATAAACACATATCGACTTGGAGCCTGAAATTCTACAAAGTGTTGATAAGCTAACTTCTCAGAGGAAGAAGCGACGATTTTAATTTTCCATATTTTATTTTGCATTTTTTTATGGATATTTGTTATTATTGCTAAGTTTATTTGACAAAGCAGATTAAATAATCCACATTATTTTAATTTTATGTTTCTACTGGAGTTGAATTAACATAGGATATATATTCCGACTTAAAAATGTCAGTTAAGAGATATTCCAGAATACGAGTAGATATGTTATGTTATGACAATAGGTATGGTTTTCGCCCTCTACAGGTCAATCAAAAACATCCTAAATTTTATTCTGTATAAAAAGTTAAAAAATGCATACCAAATGAACATTTTATAGAAAAGAACGAAAAAATGAACGATTGGTTTCATTCGAGCCCTTTAAAAATTTCGTACACATTTTCTTTGAAATAAAATGGATAATATTATATGTATGTTCAGATCGGAGATGCAACAAAGGGTATGTAGATATTAGAAATTAGTTTTTGATACTTTCCAATCTTTTGTGTTAGTTCTTACAGTTCGGGTCGTACCACAGCCTCCCCTACGGGCACGCGTTGTCGCATACGTAAAACTATACTTAGCAAACTAACTGTACAGTCTCTATATATCGTAAAAATCACATTTTGGAATGGATTCAATGGGCTGGGCGCGCTGCCGTCTTAGCGTGGGAAGGCGTCGGCGGTGCAGGGGACGCAGCCGTTCCTGGCGCCCGAGGGTAGCGCCCGAAGCGAGTGCGCCCTGCAGGTGTCGCTGGCTCGAAGGTACGTGAATCCGGGTGCGGGAAGGGTGCCCGCAGGACCGCGAGGGGCCCTCACTCGCCTACCCTCGCCTCCCAGACAGAACACTCCCGTCGGCGGCGCGCTCAGCTCTAGCTACAACTCCGTCACCGGAATATGTTTGATGGGCAGCTGGCCGCCACGTAAAGTGTAGTCGTCCTCGGAGAAGGTCTTTTGGTACTCGTGCTCCTTGCGACTGATGGCGCGCTTGTTAAACTTGTAGTCTTTCAACGCGTCGCGAACTTTAAGGCGGTAACGAAACAAAAATAGTCCCAGCACGGCCAAAAGGATGATAGCACTCACGCAGAATGTTACGATTATCACTTGCTGACTCGGCTCTCCCAGCGAGCATCCCAAATCTCCAGGGGAAAGTGATTTTAACGAGCGTTCGCGTAAATGCGTCGGCGATGAGCACTGGACGTTGGTCAAGTTACGTTGATTTGTTAATTTCAGTAACCATAACAGTTTACAGTCGCACCGAATAGGATTGTCGGTCAGTTCCAATCCCCGTAGTTCGCCCCATGACGCTACTGCTTCCGGAAGACTTTCCAAAGCGTTCTCTCGCAAAACCAAATGCCTCAAATTGGGCAATCCTTCCAAAACACCCTCATCTAACTCTCTCAGTTTTTTGTTACTAACTAGCACTACCGTTTCTAAATTAAGATTCTCTGCGAAAGCTCCTCGTTCGATACGTTCTAAATTTCTCGCGCCCGTCACATCCAGTCGACGTAAATTGGTCAAGCCACTAAACACACCTTTTTCTAACAGCATAAATTCATTTTGACCTATACTCAATTCTTCGAGGCGAGCCAAGGTTCCTAGTTGAGTGGTGGGTACCCGTTGGAGTCGATTGTCTGCTAAATTAAGGCTACGAAGACCCTCGAGGCCGCGGAAGGCGTTTTGGCTGATGTTTGAAATACCGCCGCTACTCAAATCCAGCACGGCTAATCGGTTCAAACCCTGGAACGCATCATCGGGTAATCCGTCAAAAGAATTAAGCCCAACGTGGAGCTCGGCCAGGCTACCCAAAACGGAAAAGGCCGGTGTAGGCACGGATTTGAGCAGATTGTCATCCAGAAACAATACTCGCAGACTAAGCAATCCTTCGAACGCTAGAGGATCTATCCTCGCTATTCTATTCTGTCCCAGATTTAGCTCCTCCAGTTTAGGAAGAATAGAAAAAATCCGTTTCGGCAATTCATCCAAAAAGTTCTCACGTAAATTCAACACCGTCAACGACTTCAAACCTTCGAATGTCGTACTATTTAACGATGAAAGTTTGTTTTTGTTTAAATGCAACTCCTGTAGCTTTTCTTGATGCAGGAAACTTTTCGACGGGATGCTGTGCAGGTGATTGAAGGAGAGATCGACGTACTGCAAATCTCTGTAGAAAGTGAAGGCGGCGTCTACCGACCTAATCTTGTTATTGCGGAGCACCAGCCTCTGTATAGCGGGATTCAATGTGATGGGAATGATATCCAGCTTGTTGTGGTCGCACTGGACGACGAAGGTGTCATCGTTGCAAATACAGCCGACGGGACAGCCTAGGACACTTCCTGCCCATGTGTACGTTGAGAGGAAACCGGTAAGCAGCAAAAGAAACAACATTGTTGTCGAAGTGGGGTATCTGAAACAATACAAAGGTTTTTTATAATTAATTTCTAATAAAAAAGAATATCTAAATCTTTAATTCTAGATATAAAATATAAATATAAAGCTTAAAGTTTTATTGTGTGCGTAATGCGAATTTTTTGATGACACTTTCATGGCGAATATAGTTTTTCATAGACTAAATTATTTATTATTGACATAACATTTTGAGTGACTTTTTTTCAAATGAATGCAAAGCAGGAAGATGTCCCATATATAAATTCCGAGATAAATTCAATAAGAGATCGTGTTTCTCTATTTCTTTCCAAAACGCTATTCGATGTTCTTTTTAAATAATGCGATGAAGGCGGAATATTATTACAGTCTCATGTATTATAACTGTCTGATGGAAGAGACGATTTTTTACCTCTTGTGTTATTTGAAACTCTGAATGCTATTGGATCGGTCCATAAAAACGAGAGTGTGAATGGTAAGAAATACGATATGCTTTTTTACCTAAAAGAAGTTTTAGCCTCATTCCCACTATTTTTTAAAGATTTATACTTTTGAAACGAGTTTTTTATGACATACTAAATAGTTATTAATTACCCCAGATTTAGAAACTAGTAACTGTGTGTTAACTAATGTATATTTCACTTCAAATTAATAAGCAATTATCATACTTCACGATAGTGATTACATTTATTAATAAATTAATAATTATGGTTAAATAGTTTTATTTTTCCGAAAAATTATTAATTGTATCAATATTGGTAGTAAATTAATTAATTCTAGTATTGGTCATGTAGTGTATTCCAATTAAGCTAATAATTTAATAGAAACATTGTATAAATAATAAAACAATAACATTACCGAATTCCACCGGGCTTGAAGTCGATGAATAACCAGGTTACTGAATATAGATTAATTACTCTGAGACTATATCTGTTCATGTGTCTTTAAACGAATGTGCTCACAGGAAACCGTCCTGTGTACACATATGTACCATTGCGATAAAAAAAAAGTAGTACAAGAATTAGTAGTCCCAGATAGAACTCCTGTATAAGGATATCGATATGCCACCGATATATGATATGATATAATTATGTCACCTAACTTTTTAGGCGTTACCATGGATTTGGTAATAATTGGTAGATATACGTGGCGAAATAAAAGTATAAAAATTCTGATGATACTCAGTTATCAGTTTGAAAGAAAATATTTTATTATAGACCAGCAGATTAAATCATATTTTGTTGTACTACTTTTTTTTTATCGCAATGGTACATACACATCCATCCTTTTCCAGTTCAACATTTTTTTTTCATCCCATTAAGAGTCTATTACGGTTATTTTACGGTCTGTTCGGGTTGCTCTCAGGGGTAGAGTACTTCGGGTGTGTGGCTGAAGGAAATATATATTATATTTCAGAAATCTGCAGAGACTTAGCCTGTCCTATCGTGTTAAGCTACACTCACAATTCCAAACACACGTGCTTTGATTAAGGCTTGATTAAGGTTTGCAGAGATTAATTTACCAAAAAATAGCGAGCAATTTGTTACAAAACCATATAAATTATATATCACTGTAATCACAAAACTTCAATCTATTTCCGTATTGTAACGGAATTTTAAATTATGTCTTTATTTACCAGAAAATTTAGTCCAAACATAAGGAATATTTTGTTGATGTTTGACATCAAAATCTTAAAAATATAGAAGTTGTCTAAAAATGTGCTAAAATACGAATATACCTAGCCAGTTTTCCATAAAACGTTAAATGCTGAAGACTTATTTTGGAATGGAATTATCATTCACTCTATAGCGCCCATTTCTAATGGTAAAGTTTTGCAAGTAATCTTCATTAATTCTGATGATGTTTCATGTATGGTAGTAGGCACTACTTTCCTATTATATAGTTCTTTTCAGTCATTCTCTTATTTTCTCTGGGAATGGGTATTCTTCTGCATATCCATGCAGACTGATCATAATATATATCATTAGTATGAATAATCTGTTCAGGTATTTATAAAAAAGTTACATTGCAATACCAAACATTATTCCAGGTACATTGGATAACTCCAAAGGTACAAAAATATTTTCCACGAAAACTTAAAGGGGATTAGCAAGCAGAATGAGTGGGAAGATGCAGCTCACAATAGAATGGAATAGAGAAGAATTGTAAACTCAGTTAACAGCGACAATCAAAAAGAATAGAGGCAACAAAGCAATGAGATTTTTGAATGTCCGGAGTGCGGTAGACAGATACCATCACGTATTGGGCTTTTCTGTCACAGAAAAGCTCATGAAAGAAAACACCTTGCGTGACCATCTTCTGATGCGTGTCAAATACTCGTCAGCGAGTAATGGCAGTATGTATGTATGTACAGTGCAATTCATCTATATTAGTGAAAATGGGCCTTAAACACATCTTTAACGCCTATTATCATTGCCCGACACCTAATTTCCATTTGTTTTCAATTTTTAATTGTTCTAAACCTTATTTGCTATAACCATCTTGTGTTTTGAATTATCTCTACACGCCGGTCACTAATATCAACTGATTCTTCTATATCTGATGCTATTGTGCCGTCTATAACTATCTGTTTATTATGGACTAATTTTTTTTATGTTTTTGTCTATTGAATGCTTAACGATCTTCTTATAGCATCCATTGTTACTGTACAGTACAGCATGTTATTTTCGTTACTCGTGCTGAACTACCTAGTACCATTTTCGAATGATATTTTTGCTTGACGTTACCTTGCATCAATTCCTTGCTTTCTCTCATTTGAATTTTTTTTTCGCTTCGAAGCATTTTCTGGAAACGGGTATAACTATCCAACTAACAGTGTAAACAGTGTAATACTAGAAGGATTTTAAGAGACAAAAAAAGTAGTACGAAGATCAAATTTCCCATAGACGATAGCCGCCTTGGCGAAATCCGTTTTGTTGGTGGTCCTGGCGCGAAAAGGTGAACAAACCCAATCCCTCGGTAACTAATGCCGAGACAATGCCGGCAGAGCGTCTGAGAAAAATCCACTCGCGATAATGAATCGGTTACGGTGACTGGCAAACCGTCACGAGAGAAACGAAGTGGATAGTCGCACGCTGCCGCCGTTAGTTAAACGCGGGGAAAGAACAGCCCGGGGCCAATCGATCGGTACAAGTAAACGAACCCAGTGAAAGACCATCAGATATCCTTTTTTCGACGTCTGTTGTGGAAACATTTAGCAAAACTAATAAATGAAATGATGACGTCAAATGTTTTTTCAAATATTCTCAAATCAGCCGGGGTGGTTCGTTTTCAAGGGGGGTAGCGATGGTGACTGCTGTAATTACGGACTAATTTAAATATTGCCAATAGTCTTTAAAATAGCTGAAAAGATCATGGCAATCATGTTGAATTTTTTGAAAACTATCAATGCTTGAACTCGTGTCAATATAGCTTTCGAAAGAATAGAAGCAGAACGTCTGCAATCTTGGATCTAGATCAGCGGATGTCTCAGGCTCATTGAGGCTATGGTGCCGTTCTGTTTTGTCACCTTAGCGTTCGATTGTATGGTGCTTGACATACTTCTTCGCAAGCCTCAATATTACAACTTCCATCCTAGTAGTAGGGTGCAAAAATGACAATACCAAAACGCAGAGGGACATATTTTCACTAAGAGATATCAAGGGTGAACCCGAAAATGCTCCTGAAAGGATTCTTTGGAAGTATTTCTTGATCCAAAATTAAAATGGGATGTCCACATCCAAATAAATATCTTGATAAGAGATTCGGGAGAAGTAATAAAGGCCTTACATACCTCGTTCTTCTCTGCTGTTTTTAACCGACGGCGACGGTTAAAAAACATAGGAAAAACAGAAAAAAGGTAATTATATCAAAACACAATTTATAATGTGCATAAGATACTTTATAATCAAAATCTCTTTTTCTTACATGACCTTTTTGCCTCTTTTTTCTCATTTTCTGGTGCTATGTGTAGTAGAGTTGCGCGGAAGCCCAAAATTTCTAGATACGCCAGTGTTTAAAAAATTGTGGAAATGTCTAAAATGGAACTGAAGATGAGATGTTGTGCTCTCTAGATGTGTGTCTACGGATTTTTGGCAATAATTTATTGGATGTTCTAAATTTCAAATAAGAAGATCTTCGATAAGGTTGCCTGTGACACATCCTATGGAAAATTAAATATTAATAGTTACAGCTCATTTTATGTAAAGAGATACTAAAAACCAACCAAATTTAACTTTCTAGATTATTACAAATTCTAGATTATTCATACATCAAACTCAGTTTAACTAAAAAAAAGGATTCTATCAAAGCGATCCATAGTGCTGACGGATCGCATCTAAAAACTTTGGCCCGAACTAGTCCGAAACAAGTAATGTCCCTTAGGTCTTCGCTGAAAACAATCGCTTTAGAAGTTTCTCGCTTCGTCGAAACCGTTCGTCGAATCCGGTATCGAATTTCCGATGGCGGCGACAAAGTTCACGACATTCAAGCACCCAAACTCTCGGGAACAAAGGTCATCGAATATTTTTTAGATTATTGTATGATTATACAGTTTTTACATTTTGACAATTTTTTTCATTATGACGAATAACGAATCATCAAGACTTAAATAGACTAAAAGACTTAAATATACGAGTACTTGGGTTTATATCAATTAGGAAAAAATCATATTTCAGTAAGCCAATTTGATGTAAACCTAAGGGAATCGTTCACGTATACGATTCCTCTGGTTGATTGTGATGAGCAGACAAAATACAAAAGAGTATGCCGAAGACAGTGCGGTTAGTTAATAGTCAATAATCAATAGACAGTGCTATAGTCTGTGAAACGAATAACTTTGAATTTGTCAGTTCCCGCGGGCTTTTCTAGTGTTAATTTTATTAGGTTAGCAACTTGCGGCCATGCTGACGCAATGCCGTCTCTAATAGAGGAGCCTCGAAGCGAAATTTATGACGTCACGCTAGTTAGATACTACGGATTAATAAATATGTTGTAGAATACATGGAAAACATAATTATTCCT